GCAGATTGGCCCATAAAGACATCTTACCGCAAGAACGATGAAATCACTGCGTTAGATCTACTCCAAAAGCTTGTGCAGTAGCGCGCAAACACGGTGAAATAGAGCTTATCTTACCGATTTTATAGATGCACATATATCTCATAAATCACGCCCATGCCAACGAGGAAAGCGGTAAATTCAATTAGTTTGTGCGACTAACTTTTTTAGAAAAAATCGCCGAATCATTTTGTGACGAAAAAACTTTTTTCGTCACAAAATGATTCGGCGATTTTTTCTAAAAAGGACACGTGAAATGAACATGCTTTGTGACTGGATACTTCGCACACTGAAATAAATACATACGCTAGCGTTGTGACGTTTTGTGTATCATGGAAAATGATAGGGAAGAATGCAGGCTTAGCGTACAGTGGCAATGAGGACGAATGACTGAAGACCATGAAGCGGACTGTAATCAGAACGGTACAGTAGACCAGCTCGAGATTTATCCAGATCGCGAACACAAAGTGACCAAGATGAACAGTGGAGGAGCCGGCGGGTTGCCTGAGTTCAAACAACGAGGTTTATCAATGGAGGTGTGAGCAGCGAAAGAATGTGCTATAAAACGACAAGCATCGACATTTTCAAACATATCAGACAACGTGCGACGCTACAGCAGAGATCCACGGAAGCACAGATGAAAACGGGGCGTAACTACACCGAAATTCGACACCAAACGCTTTTCACTATTCCGTTCGGCCGTCAGTCACCAGGACTACCGGTAAACGCAATCGTACCAGAAGGATGAGCTAGAACAGAAACTGAACTGTTTGACATCACAGAGAGGACTCTAAGAAGCATACAGTCGAATCTCGATTCAGAGCGAAAAAAAGAAGTGGGAAGAAAAAAATAAGATAAGTGGCCTGGAGTCTAGTAACGGACCGCCAAAAACGAAAAGGGATGATTGAAGATTGCTTAGTAATGAAATGAGATCAGATCAAAACGGACTAATCCTTCGTATGCGAGACAATAGGAGAATGGATTTACTGAGAACTTTAAAACACGGAAATGGATAGTCCAGGGTGTAAAACGCCAGTGAACTGTTTGCAAACAGTGTTATAACTAATGACTGACATCATTGATGAATACCACAAAGATGCACACTTCCGATAGCACAGCCGTCCTCAGCAGATGAAAACAAGACAACTCGTTGGGATAGCGAATACCAAGATTTGGAATACAAGCTGGACCAAGCAAATTAGGACCATCTGGAAAGGTAGCACTGGTGAAGCTAGTAGCAAGCTGCTACTCGTGCAAATTGACATCAGTTCCTACTCTTCTGCCGGCACAGCGTGGACTTATGGAGAAAGAAAACCAATTTGTAGACAAGGTCACGTTATTACCTAAATGTGAGGAACGAGGGAAGTTTATATAGACCACAATCACTTCATGTGAACAAATAAGGAATATGGAGAGTGTGGGTGGTAGGAAGGTGAATAGATTGAACTTTGTAGCGTTTTGGTTGGAGTGAGCACAACTAACCAAGGGAGGAACGGCTATAGGTATGTACAATGGGATATGACCTAATAAAAGAAAACGTATCAAGGGCAGACACGTCGAACTGGATTATTGGTCACAAGACCAAACAGAAAAGACATTGTGCTCGGGTGCGTTGGGATTATGCAGAGCGGAAAAGATTGTCCAACAAGAGGATGCCGTCCCGAAAACAGAATCCACGGCAGTAGGTTCTAGTGTTGCTTGTTAATTAGTGGCAAAAGAACAAACATCGGGATAAGTGAACATCCAATCGATTACAAGTTGAGGCGAGTTGCAATGGCGCAATGTGAAACTGGACGCTACATGGTGCTCCTCATCGCCCACATTCATGTGAGTAATGTATGACGATTAGTTTTTCACAGTGTTGGTGCTTGTTTGGTTCACAAACTAGCTCACATGCGACACAGTGTCGTTAGGAATACCCGATTGAGCAGTCTTAACAACTTTACTTGGTGATCCGGTATTGCCACCGCCGCCTGGTATGCGAACTTCTGAGCTGCCGTAACTAAGATTCGTCCCATCAGTAGCAGAAGATGTATCTTCAGAACTCCCGATTTCATCAGCTTTTTTATCCAGTTTGCCCCCTTATTATTGTTATTGTTGTCGCTGCGACCGGCGTTACCTCCTTTGCCGCTGTTTCCACCACTTGTGCCAGTGGGTTTTGAGGTGCATGCTTCAGCGTTTGACTGATTGTTAAACACCAAGAGCTACTTCATCCGGATCCGCCAAGCTTGTCTAAATTGTGGGATTCAGAAGGACGACCTTTTCTATGCCAATCTCCAATAAGTTTACGATTATTCCCGACTGTTTATTACCTTTTTTGTCTAATCCACTCAAATCGCCAAACATTTTGTTGCCGGAGCCATGCCAATACCGTGGATCCTGTGCAGGCCAACCATGAGCACCGGTGATAGAATTAAGCTCATGGGGTGGTGGGACGGAGGGTGTTGTTGCTAACGGTGCAGATGGAGATGGATTAGGGTCTAACAGATGGGGAGGCATTCTAACAAGATTCGGCAATGCACCGTTTGAGCCTAGTTCACGAAGCTCGTCAAAACAAGACTCACCAAGGGCATCTGATGGCGAGATACGCCGGATAGGGTTGTAGACTGGCATTTTGCTCATAAGAGTTAGTAAATCTGAAGGTGTGTGCTAAGGAAAGAACAATTTGACTTCATAGGATTGAACTTATGGGAAGTTGTATGAGCCATACATAGGATTCATACTTTCAATGTCTTGCGTGGTTGGTGTTCCGAGAACTTTGATCACTTTGACAAGTTGATCAACTGAGTCACCGCCCATAAAAAGACTATATTGTCGGAGCA